GAGCGGCTGAGCGGCCGGGGCCGGGGCCGGGCACAGGCCGAGACCGAGCCAGCGCGGCGGCGAGCGGCGGCAGAGAGGAGGGGTGCGGGTGCGCCCGCGAGCGGGAGTGTGTGAGTGTGTGAGCGCGCGCCAGCGCAAGGGGTGGGGGGTCGCGGGAAGCGGGAACAAATTATGCAAATGTTGGAGGAATTTCTCAAAAAGCGATTTAGCAAAGACACAGGCGAATCAAGAGGAGGCGAGGCCGGTATTGTCCGTCTGAATAGGCGCTGATAGCGCCGATGCGCCGGGGGTTGTGCGGGCGCAGCGCTGAGAAGCCCGGCGCGGGGCCGGCCCCGGGAGAGACGAGGGGCCGGACGGTGCTTCTTCCTTCTCGTGCACGCCTCTCTTTTCTCTTTTTGGGCCCGTCTCGCCCCCGGTCTCGCCCCCGTTTCGCTCCGCGTTTCTCTCCGACGGGCCCTCGCAAGGCGCCGGTATCCGTGTCCGTATCACCGCTGCAATTCCGCGGCGCGCGTCGGGCGGGCGGGCGGATGCTCCGGGCGCTCGGGTTTTATTTTCCGCAACCAACCCCCATCTCCTTTTTATTTTCTTTCTTTCTCTCTTTTTTCCTTTTTGCATTTTGTGCGGAGAGGAGGAGAAGGGAGAGAGGAAGGGGGGGTGGGTGGAGAGAGAAAAAATTCGATTTTTAATTACTACCATTAAAAAATCAAATTTGCAATTCTTTGGGCGGCCTGATGGATCTCACTGATTGACAGTTGGAATTGACACTCTGGCTACCTCTTATCTTGGGCATTCACGACAATTTCTAATTGCAGGTAGTTTGTGTGTGTGCGCGTGTTTTTTTCCCCCCTCGGAGGCTTGGATTGCAAGGGAACTAAGCGATTACTTCAAGAGCCACGGGTTAAGTGCAGGGAGAGGGGGAGAGAGAGGGAAAAAATCCAATCCAAATTCAAATTGCTTCATTAGAGAGACACCGCTTTTGTAGGGAAGGGCTTTAAATGCCCACTACAAAGTTAGGACTCATTGTTCGGCGCCGGTTTATATAACAGGCGCGGGGAGGCGCTGGGCTCAGGCTGAGCGGAGCCAGTTCTGCAGCCGCCGCCGCCTGCGTTCCCTCCCCCCCTCCCCCAGGTGATGGCCCAACCAGGGTCCGGCTGCAAAGCGACCACCCGCTGTCTCGAAGGGACCGCGCCGCCCGCCATGGTGAGTCCGTTCGGCTCTGCCTTTGGTCCCCGGTACCCCGGCGGCCCGGCCCTGGGGACCTGGCCCGGCTTTCCGGCCACATACCGCTCGCCCATGCGCTGGGTGACTCCAGGCAGGCGCCGCCCTTCTCGGAACCTCGGTTTTCCGGCCGGGAATGTGGCTTTTGACAGCTCGGAGCACCCAGGATGCGCGTGTTAAAAGTTGGGGCCATTCCTTCCCCTCCAATAGGCCCTTCCATTCCTGTCCTCGAGCCTACCGCGCAGCGTCCCGGGGAGATTTCGTTGTCAATTTGTGCGCTCGGGCCCCAGATTTGTCTCCGAGGCAGTGGCAACTCTGGGTGCCCGGCTCAGCGCTCCCCTCTTGCTCTCTCCCCCACCGCAGGCTCAGTCTGATGCCGAGGCCCTGACGGGCGCTCTGGACAAAGACGAGGGTCGGGTCTCCCCATGTACGCCCAGCACACCATCTGTCTGCTCGCCGCCCTCTGCCGCCTCCTCCGTGCCGTCTGCCGGCAAGAACATCTGCTCCAGCTGTGGCCTCGAGATCCTGGACAGGTATCTGCTCAAGGTGAGACAGGAGTAGGTGTTGAGGCTGCGTTGGGGGGTGTGGGCTGCAGCCCAGAGGACTGCAGGGAAGCAACGCCGCCTCCAGGTCCACTTAATTCCGAATCCTGGTCCGCCGCTGCTGGATTGCGCGGCTTTGGACGAGTCTTAGGGTCTCTCTACGTCCCCAGGTACCGTCTGAGAAATGGGAAGTTTATTTCTATTTCCCTGAGCCTCAGTTTTACAGAAGAAAAGTAGGGGAGACAGAAACACCTTCTGAGCTCCAGCGTCTCTGTCTGCAAATGGGGCCGGGAGGGCTGGGGAAGAGCGTGAAAGAGGCCTGCGCTGAGCCGACCCCCCTCCCCGCCCCCTCCCTAGGTCAACAACCTCATCTGGCACGTGCGGTGCCTCGAGTGCTCCGTGTGTCGCACGTCGCTGAGGCAGCAGAACAGCTGCTACATCAAGAACAAGGAAATCTTCTGCAAGATGGACTACTTCAGGTAGGCTGCGGCCGCCCTGCCAGCAGTGTCTCCGTAGGCAGGCCCCGGTCACATACTGAGGCCAACTTTGCGGCACGTGGTCTCCGGCTCCGGAGCCCCCGGCGTCCGGATTGCACTCCCGGCGCGCCATGCGGTCCCAGTCCGCCGGCTGTCGGCGTCGCGAACCCAAAGCTCCGGGCTGCGCGCTTGTGCCTGCGCCTGCATAGTCTTGGGCCCGCGATCCGCCTCCAGTACCCGCGGTCCACTGGGTTTCGGTCGTGTCTCTGGTTCCGTCTCGGGTCCTGCCTGAGTGTCAGGTTCCAGTACCGACTTCAAGCGCCTTGGTCGAGCTCTGACGTCCTCGGCTCTGGTCCAGACTCACTCAGATCCCAGCTGCCTCTGGCTGCATTTCCAGTGCGCTCCTGCTCTGGGTTCCAACCCTACTTGGACTCTAGTGGTGCCAGGGTCTCTCCCGGGCCAGACTCTGAGCTGGACTCCGGACTCGTGCCCTGCCTCTGACCCGGGCTCTGCTCTGGATTCGGGTCTGGTGAGGTCCAAAGCACCAGTGCTGCATCCGTCTCAGATCCGACCCCAAGTCCAAGCCTCTTGTTGTAAGCCACAATCTCCGGCTCCGCCTCAACCCATACCCCGGAGCCGTGTCGCATTTCCAGTCTGGGGTCCTGCCCGTTCCAGTCCCAGCTGCGCCGTCGTTTCGAGCTCCGGCTTCGGCCTCTCCCGGGTTTAGGTTTTGACTTTGCGCCGCCGGGACCGGAAGGGGAGAGTCTGGCGCGACAGCTCAGAGCCCTGAGTAGGATTGCCCTGGGCCGGACCGCGCTCTGCGCGCCGCACTGCGGCGTCCCGGCCCCTCTAGACAGCCGCCAGTCGTCCTCCCGCCGCGCCGCCGCGTCTCAGCCACCTGTTCCCATCTTCCTTCTAGCCACGCGGCCCAAGCCCGACGCGGTCATGAGGTCTAGGTCACTGCAGGGTCAGGGGCGCCGCGGCCATCCGCCTGATTCCAGCGGGAAGCATGAACCAGGCCTGAGGCCCGGCCACCCGGCCTACGGAGTCCAAGAAGAATGGTGTGGAATTGGTTCCTGGGAGGGACGCCGGTTCTCAAGTGCTTTCTCAGGACGTGGAGAAAGTTACTCCCCTGTAACTACCCTCCAACCCACAGACATCTTCCCCATTCTTGCCTGAGGACAGGTCATGGTTTTAGTCTTCCTAGGAAGACCCAGGTTCCAGAAGGAGCCTCTGAGTCAGGGAATGTGGTGGAAGCCTCCCACCCCCCACCCCCGGTAGAGCCTCCAGGGACCTAGAAAGAGAGGGCCTGTGTCTATGGGGAAGTTAGCAGCATTTGGGGCTGGGATAAGCTTAGGAAACCATGGGAAGCATGGTTAAAGAGGTGAGCTCTTCCTTTATGTGATGGGTGTAAAAAAAGTGTGCAGCTGGGGTACATGTGTGTGGGGTCCTCTACCAGGTGGCCTAGGACTCGGTGTTCGAGGACTGTACATGTGTCTCTATTGTCTGGGGTCTGTGCTCTGGTGCTGGGAAACACGTCACTGAGCAGGTCAGGGGTTTATGGACAGCATGTGTGTTTCTTCATGGACAAACAATTGTCTTGAGCTCACGTGTGTGTGTCTACATGTGAATGTTGAGAGGCGTGTGTGTGTGTGTACAAGCTGGTCAGGACAGGATTACATCTGGATGGGATCCGGATGTGAGAGGGTGAGATGGCATGCAGGGAGAATCTGAAGTCCTGTCATTTGCCACCCCCACCCTGTCCTCTGAGGGGGCCTTCCTGCTTAAGACCCTCCACCCAGGCACTGAGGGGTATGAGTGTGTATTTGTGGATGGGCACTGCTGTGTGTGTAGTCAGAAGGGGGTTATCATTGCATGGTGTGTAACCAGAGTGTGATGTCTCTTCCCACTGTCCCATCTGACTGTTGCTTTGGTCAGTGCAGAAAATGGAGTTTAAACTCACTGCCACCCACTGCTCTAGGCCTGAATGTAGTTGGGGTGGGGTGGAGGGAAAGCAAGCCAGCTGCTGTTTCAGGGCTCCTTTGAGTCATCAGCTACTAGGGACAAGGCTCCAGTTTGGGGAACCCAACAGTATGGTGTCTGAGCCACCATTGTAGAGTAAGGCAGGGCAGGACCCCTCTCCTAGCTCTGCTGGTGACCATGGACCTGGCAGCCCTTCTCGCCACTTTCCCAAATTTCTTCCCTGCTTCTACAGCCCCAGCTCATACCTATGGACTGAGCCTCCTTGGATGCTGTGTTTTACCAGACCATGAGTGACTAGTGAAAACTCGCATCCTGACTGCACTGTTCAGAGCCTCCACTGATTCTGGAGTCCCCCTTTCCACTGCAGTGGCACAGAGGGTAGGGTGCACAGCCATTGAGGGGAGAGGCAGGGGACTGAGTTCTTTCAGACCAATTGTGACCTTGGGCAAGTCATTGCATCTCTCTGCCCTTAGCTCTTCCTTTTCAGGGTTGTCTCCCTGAGCTGCCAAGGAGGCCACTGAAGGGGGGAAGTCTCCATAAATGTTCCTAAATGGCAGTTGTTATTAATATCTCAATTATCACCATTGGCAGGGTGGATGCCAGGCACAAGCCTGTGATGGCATTTCCCCAGGCAGCTTGAGGAGCAGGGCCTGTCTGGAGGAATGGGACTGGGCCATTTCTAGTCTGCAAGTTCTGAGACCTAATCCTCTTCCAGTGACAAGAGGCTCCAAAGCAAAATTAAACCAGAGTTTTGGTTAAGAAAATGGAGGCAATAAAAGCTCACATTCCCTGGGCTGAGGGTAGAATTGTGGCTGTTCTGATCATTTCTCCCCTGCCAGGTCTTCCTGCAGGCACAACCCATCCCTGGCAGCCCCACCTGTAACAAAAATAATTAAACCCACAAAAAGGGAAAGAAGAAGCTGGCGGCGGAGCGCCAGGAGAGGACTATTGTCTGCACTGAGCAGCAGCCCAAGCTCTGGGTGGCTGCTGTGAGGAGCCTCTTCCTGGAGACAGCATGAATGGCAGTGTGGGAGGCAGAGTTCCCTCTCAAGAGCTGGGGCTCAGGGAGGGGTCATGCGCTGAGATTCTCTAAGCCTCTGTTTTCTGAAGCCCAGGTTCAAGGGTCTGGTGGGATGTGGATACGTGTACTCTGACCAAAGAAAGGCCAAAATCTCCTGAGGAGGTGGAGGGAAGGGAGTGGCCAACGCCCTGTGGAGGGGCCACTTGGGGGTCCCATGGTCTTGTCCCCCAAAGAAGGGTTTCTCCTTGGTTCAATCCCTTATCTTGCCCCTCTTGGATACTGTCTTACAGATCCTTCTTCAGTCTCCGTTGGCAGAGTTGGCTCAGGAAGTTAGAAGTTAGGAAGTGATGCCAAGTTAACCAGGGAGGGAGCCTGCAGAGAATACGGGGAGTCAGGGAGGTCCAGTGTTGCTCCTGGCTCATTTGCATTGCTGGGAGGGGTTGATTTTCCATTGGCTGTGTGCCCTTGACCAGGCTGCTGGACTTCTCCTCCTCAGTTTCTCCAATTCACTCTCCAAACAGGGACCTCACCAGCCCTTCTGTGTTCCGTCAGATTCCACTACCCCTGAGTTGTAGCAAAAAAAAAAAAAAAAAAAAAAATACCACCAGGAAAATGTGATAGGTATTTTAACGTCTTTGCTTTTTGTTAGGACCATTTTTCTTTCAAGAGGTGAAGAAAATTCTGGGGGAAAATAGCATTCCTTTCTGGGGCATTCACATTTCCATTGCCTTCAGCAACCACAACTCCAGACAACTCCCCATATCTCCTTCCCATCTAACTACCTGCAGCTAGCTGCTGCTTCACAAACAGGGCATGGCCTGATTAGACTTGCCCTCCTGGCCCTCTTAATCTCCTGGAGCATTGTGCCCATTGAATAGGTGGGGAGACTGATGTCCTGGAAAAGTGGAAAGTGATGTGCTCAGGGTCACACAGAGAGAGAAAGCACGGAAGAGGGGCTGGGCAGAGATAAGGACACCCATTATCAGATTCCATTCTCTAAGCCAGGAACTGTGCTAACCCTTCACCTGCTTTATCTTGTTTAATCCCCAGGTCCACCCTGTGAGTCTTATATTCTCATAATCCCCACATTATAGGAGGGGAAACTGGAGTGCTGAGAAAATTCTCATACAGCTAATAAGTGACAGAGCCTGGATAAGCCTCAGGGTTGCCTGACTCTCCCATCCCTGCCCCTAAACACCCCCCATACTCTTGTTCTATAGGCAAGATATGTTAGCCACCCCTCTGTGCATCATGGGATGGGTGGAATGGCAAATTCCACTTTCTGCTGGTCCTAAGATTCCCTGCCCAGTTTGGTTGGCTTCACATAGGGAGCAGCAGAAAACTCGCATCCTGACTGCACTGTTCAGAGCCTCCACTGATTCTGGAGTCCCCCTTTCCACTGCAGTGGCACAGAGGGTAGGGTGCACAGCCATTGAGGGGAGAGGCAGGGGACTGGTGCTGTGTGACACACAGAGAGTGGCCCTGGGAGCATTAGGGCAGAAATGACCTCCTCAGAAGCCTGTGAGTGCAGCAACTTTGCCAGGTTCAGTTCACCGTGGTCCCTGGCCTTCGTGCCTTCTGACAAGGGAGTGGGAAGTAAAGAGTTAACTTCTTCCTCCAAGTGATTATGGAGGTGGGGGTTCAGAGAGTGCCCCCAGAGCTAAAGTTCCAGTTCTCCGCTTGGCCCACGAGACTCAGGGCAAGCCCCCAGCCTTCTCTGGCCTTCTGCTTGGAGCCCAAGCTCGTCTGCGGGCTCCAGCGGGAGAACCCCACCTCCTCCCCCGGAGCGAGGGTCCCAGGGGAGGCTCAGAGCCGGGAAGCGGCCCCCCACCGCGGCGGAGAGCAGCCCAGCGGCCGCCAGCTGTTGGGGGACAGATGTTGGGGGAGCGGAGCGGAGAACTCGGGGGAGGGGCCTCGGGCCGGGACCTCCGAGGCGCGGGTCCTTTTAACCTCTTAATTGCTGGTTCTGTTTTTTCTGGCTTCTAAGGGTTTGCCGAGAAGGGAAGGAGCAGAGGGAACAGGAAGGGCTCCACCTCCGCCCCCCGCCCCCTTGTTGCCTCATAGGACCTAAGGCCATCAAACGAGCTTCTTGAACCTGAAATAAATGAACTCCAGTCTGAGTTGCCGCACCTCAGCTCGCTAGCTTCGTAACTAACGTTGCCGTTCCCAGTCTGAACTTCGGTTTCCTCAGGCAGAAAAGGGGCAGCTTAATAATGGGGAAAGGGGTCGTGGTGTGACTCTGATGGGCTCTTTCGTTGAGGCTCATTCATCCAACAAATAATTACTAAACGCCTACTAGGTGTCCAGGGTAAGCAGGCTGGGAAAGTGAGCCTGAGCCGGTGGAGGGGCACAGCTCCCTCGCAGGGCACGAGCACCCCGATATCTCTGCTCCGCCTGCTGGTGCACGATGCCCACCCTATGCCTTCGTGCAGCTGCCAGGATGCGCAGCATCTGTCAGACACTCCATCCCCACAGCGCCTCCGTCCCTTGCGCCTTTGACCACAGAGCGCCGAGATCCAGCGAGGGGCGCGCACCGCCCAGACCTCACAGCAAGGCTGGGTTGGCGGTAGGCGCGTCCCCTAATCCCTTCGACGCTCCGGTGGCAGCGCCCGGACACCCCTTTCTTGAAGTTTCGTTGCTGTTTTCGACGCCGATTTCGTTGCTTCCGGAATCCAGTGGCTCGGGCCTCGCCGCCAGTCTAGGAAGGAGTCTGTCGGTTTGTCAGACACTCGATCCGTGAGCCTCCTCGCGCCCTTGGTTTGTGCCGTTGACCCCTGCCCTGGGTGCGGGACATGGTGCAGGAACGGCCCGCAACGCACTCAAACCTGCATAATCACCCCCCTCCGCCCACACACCCCACCCCAAGGATCCAGTGCGAGGACGATTTCGTTGATTGGGCCGAGCCATGGGGAACCTAGGGAGATCCTAGGACTAGCGACAGCTCCCGGCACTTGAGGTGACACACGGAGGGTGAGAAAGTTGCTGAGAGTTCACTCGTGGCGCCCGCCTCGGAGAAGGGAATGGGGGTACTGGGACCTACTGCGTAGGCGCAGAACGGACTCGGGCGTGGCGGACTCGTGGGACAGGGAGACCAGAGGTGCGCGAGGAGTCTCGGACGCGTCCCTGGCCGAGGACGAGGAATCCCACAGAACCAAGCGCTACGATCCGCGACCGCACACTTTGGCGCAGCGCACCGGCCCCGCGCAAGGAGACCATAGGCCCGAGACGTGGCCGCTCCTGCCTTCCTTCCTTCCCTGCTCGGGCTCGCCCCGTTCCTGAGACGCACTCCCCGCCTTCTCGAGGCGGTGGGCCCCTGGCCTTGCGGCCTGGAGTAGGGAGGCAGCGCGGTCGGACCAGCCCCCCTTGCTGTGCATCCACCCGAGATCTCAGCTCCCCTCATCTCCAGTGAGGGTGCTCCGCAGGTTCTAGGCCCTTTTTGCACCTCGGAGGGGACCTCAAACCCGGCCCCAAACTGTGTGGTCTCAGGCAAGTCACTTGCCATCTCTGAACTTCCGATTCCACGTGTGAAAAATGGGTGCCAGTGTCTCCACCTCACGGGGTTGCGACGAAGCCGAGGGGGTGCAGTGAAGGCGTCGCGCCCCGGCCCGCAGCAGGGCTCTGCGCGCGGCTGGCCGCAGCATAAGTAATCGAAGGCCAGCCTCCCCACTGAGGCGAGAGTGCTTGCAATCGGTTACCACCCGCCTGGCGGCGGAACCCGGGGTGCGTTCCACGGCGGAGGTAGGCTGGGATGGGCAGAACACTTTTCTCTCCGCTTTACTGTGGCATTGGGAACAGAGATCAAGGGCTGTGCTGGGCTCTTCCGAGATCAGGAGCAGCCTCTGCCTAGCCTGGCGGTTGACCCGGCAGAGGCGCGCAGCACGACCTCAGCGAACCGAGCTCAGAGTCCCCTTGCTCTAATTGTGCGAGAGAGTGGCGTTGGGGCTGCGCCCGGGAGCGGGGACTGGCTGTAGCTTCCGCGCTCCCGCACTCGGTTCAACTGAATGCAGCGTTTTCATCCGTCAGATGCTTGAATTTGCCGAGGCAGGCAATGCTGGAACCAGAGCTTTTTTGCTGGGCTGTTTCTTCCATGCACACACAAGCGTTTCCAAATGCTCCTCCGGTTGGAAGGGTGCCGGCCCTGGGGACACAGAGGCAAATCTTTTTGCCCCCCCAACCCCATACAAATGGCAAAGGTGGAAGGGGAGAGCCAAGGAACCAGACACGTACAAATTGGTTGCACCAATGTTGAAAGGGTGGTACAGGGAGCTGCGGGACTCTGGGGGAGGCTCCTCCTCCGGAGAGGGACAGCCTGTGCAAAGGCCTGGTAATGGGAAACTGCTTCAGATGGGGCCATAAACAGCTAGGACTGGCCTTCCATTGTGGCTCACTGGGACGCATGTTCGGATGTGGGGTGGGAGATCTTGGAGAAGGTTAGGGAGGAGATGGGCCTGAAGAGGATGTGGTCTGTTGGGTTTTGTAAACCACAAGGGTCTTGGACCAGATGGGGAGGGTAGAGGAACCACCAAAGGGTTGTAAGGAGGACAGTATTCGATGTGCATGCAGAAAACTGCTGTGACTGCGGTGTGGAAGATTAGTTGGCAGGGGTGACACTGGATCAGGGAGGCCAAGGAAGAGACTGGCAGTGAGGGGTACATAAGGGACCCTAGCCTAGGAGGGCAGTGGAGATAAAGAGGAGGAGATGATCCCAGAGATACTTAGGAAACAGAACCAACCAGTGCCTGATGATTGGCTGGATGTGGGGTTGATGGGGGTGGGGTGGGGGAGAGATGTATGATTTAGATTTCCAGGCTTGAGGGGCTGGATGTGTGTTGGCACCATTCCCTGAAATAGTGTGCACCAGAGGAAACTGAGGCTGAGAGGGTTGGGACAGAGTGACAGGTGAGTCATCCACTCAACGAACAAACCTTCCTTGGCTGACTTCTGGGACAGAGTGAACCAGACTCGGCTGCTTCCCTGAGGGGGCTCCCAGTCTGGTGTTGGAGGCAGCTGCACCCAAATAGCTACACTGCTAGACGGAGAGGGAGAAGGGAAAGAAACAGAATTGAGGAGAGGGCTTAAGGGAGAAGGGGACATTTGATCTGTGCTTTTAATTTTAATTTTTGTCTTTTAAACATTTAGTATTAAAATGTCATGGGATCCAGAGTCTGGGACTAACTGGGTACTTAGTAGGCCGCAAAGCATTAAAAAAAAAATAGTAGTTATTGCTGTTGTCATCTGTTCAGCTCAGGGCATGGAAAATGAGAACTCAGAATGGGATCCAGAGTCTGGGACTAACTGGGTACTTAGTAGGCCGCAAAGCATTAAAAAAAAAAAATAGTAGTTATTGCTGTTGTCATCTGTTCAGCTCAGGGCATGGAAAATGAGAACTCAGAATTAAACGATTTGCTCAGGGTCACAAAGCCAGTAAATGCATACCTGTCTATTCTTCCAAGAAACTCTGGGCTTCTGTAGAGCTGGGGATATAGCGTGTCTTCATCTCTCGAGTTGGACTGGCTCAGGTTGCTATCCTTACGAGTTGTGTGATCTCGTGCGAGTTACTTTACCTCTCTGGTTTCCATTTTCCTCACCTGCTAATTGAGGATTAATTGGGATAATGAACATAAAAACACTCAGGGTCTTGCTCTGCAAGTGGTAAGTGCTAAAAAAAAAAGTTTGCCTTTTATTCCTATTATTACATATTACTAATGCTTATGATGTATTTTAATGAAAAAATAATATAATGTGTAAATGTAAGTGATCATCGTTGAAAATGTGAAAAACTCAGAAAAGCACCAAGAAAGTAAACATCATCCACCAGTTCACTTTCTAGGTGGGACTTGGCTGTAGAGGGATGGTGGATCCAAACAAAGGGTGATACATGAGGGAAGGATCACTGAGGGTCGGAGAGGGGAGGGATGGCCTGTCTGAGTCTGGCCACCCCTGTCCCTGCCCCCTTGACCTGCAGCCGATTCGGGACCAAGTGCGCCCGGTGCGGCCGACAGATCTACGCCAGCGATTGGGTGCGGCGGGCGCGCGGCAACGCCTATCACCTAGCCTGCTTCGCCTGCTTCTCCTGCAAGCGCCAGCTGTCCACCGGTGAGGAGTTCGGCCTGGTGGAGGAGAAGGTGCTGTGCCGCATCCACTACGACACCATGATCGAGAACCTCAAGAGGGCCGCCGAGAACGGTAAACCCGCCCCACCCAGCACCTCTGCTCTTGGCCCTTTCCCACCCCATCCTGCACCCCAGGAACCGCCCACACTTCTCTAGCGATGGGGCTGCGCACGGAGCATGCGCTTCTGGCTCCACCGTTTGCTTGGGAGTCAAGTCACACTGCAACTATGAGTCAAGTCTCTGCAACTGTTTCCTTATCTGTAAAATGGGCTAATGAAAGGACACCTTCTCAAAGACGGAGGAGCTGATGTGATGTACATCCAGGAGGCACTCAATGAACCCTAGAGATGATTCTCATACTGAGGCAGCTTACTCCACCTTCGGCCAGCTCTCATTGGCTTGGGTTCATCCTCTCTAGCTGCCTGGAAACAAGCTTGGGCCAGTCCCGGAGAGATGTTGTAGCTCCCATTCTCCCAACTCCTATCCTAGCAGCTCCAAGACAGAGGTTTGGGGGGTGGGAGTTTCATCCTGGACTAGGGTCTCTAACTCTAAGGGGAAAGGGCCCTGTCTCTCTGAGCCTTAGTCCCCCTATCTGTGCAAGAAGGGTGCTGGACTAGAATGATCCCTAAATTTCTTCTGGCTCTGATACTGTGATTCCCCAAGATACACAGGCTCAGGGACAGGGTCCAGGTCTTCCAGGGATCCTGAGGGCTGAGTCACAGGTGGGTCAGGGGCTGAAGGAGAGGAGTAGAGACTGGGCTGTGAGCAGAGGCAGGGACCCTTTCCATAATTCCCCTGTCGGGGTCTGTGGAAGCTGCTAACTTCTTTGTAACATGGATTATTTTATGGACTTTTTTTAGTCCTAGGAAGTAGGTGGTGTATCCCCATTCTACAGGCGAGGAGACAGGCAGAGGTTATCTGCAGTACCTGACTTGCCAAAGGTTACACACTAGTAGGTCTGCCTGACTCCAAAGACCAAGCTGTTAACCACCATACCACAACATAGACCTCATCCCCAAGCTCCAGGGCCCCTTTATCATAAAGCTGGGGAGGCTGCTGGTATGTGGCTGCCTCTGTGAGTTTCATTTCCCATCTAAAAAACAGGCATGCCAACCCTTATCCTGCCTGCTTTCCTAGGGAACATTAATACCACAAAGTGTCTACCCCATCCCCAGTTCCTTTGGAGAGGGGTATAGACTGTCTGCCTCAATTTCTAGGCCCCAGCCTGGGGACTAGTCAGGGACCACTAGAGTGATCCTGGCCATGGCCACATGAAAGCCATCACTTTCTCTTGCCAGGATCACAGCTAAGTGGGCCTAAGTGGATAGCTAGTGAACTTGGGGTGCTATGACGTTATTTGCAGTGGTGGGCAAGTCAGTAGTAGAGCTGGGCTGGAAAACCAGGAGTCAGAGCTCAACCCACACTGTGGTCCATCAGTGACCACAAGATCCTTCCACACCTGGAACAACCAGGACCACCCCTAGTCACAGCCTTGCCAATTACAACCTTGTTCTCACAGCCATGCCCGACTCCAGACTCCTACCATGCAAGAGAACTTGAAGACTTAGGGCCTCAGATCTCCCTTACTGACCAGCCCTCATTGTCCACTACTGTTTTGGTTTTTGAACATAACACACAAACACACACATGTTCATTGTAGAAAAATTGGAAAAGATGGTTAAGCAAAAAGAAAAAAATAAAGATCACTCTAAATGCCACCTCCCCTCATATTTTAGTATATATCTTTCCAGATTTTTTTCTATGTATGCGTATTTGAATATTTTATTTTTTTCTTTAACACAGTTTTTTTCCTAATTAAAAAAGTTACTATAAATTGTGACCAGTGTTATCTCTGAGTGGTGGAATTACTGGTGATTTTTATTTTCTTCTTTGTGTTTATGGGAATTTTCTGAGTTTTTGATATGGAGCATGTTTCTTTTTTCTGTAGTCAGAAAAATGAAGTATTAAAAAAAGGGAATATATTTAGTGATTTAGTATGATTGTAAAAATACTATAAGTGAGAACAGAATACCTAACATATACTTCCAGTTAACAAAATTAAACCTTAGAGAAGTAAGGTGACATATGATTGTTTTAAAAACCTCAAAAGTTACAGGAATATTGAAAGTCTCTGTAATCGCACTCCTCAGAGGTAAACCACTGCTAACACCTTGGTATATATCCTTCCAATCTTTTTTCTTCCACTCGTTTTTATAAAATTGGGATCACAGTTCTGTAACCTGCTTGCTTCCAATCTCCACCAGCTTTTGGTTCCCCCCAGTTTAGCTAGGGGGGAGCCCAGTTTGGGGCGTTTGGGTCAGCCAGCTTTCAGATCCTAGTCGAAAGGTCTGGGGCAGGGACTTTCTTCTCTCTGAGACTCAGTTTCCTCTGCTCTGAAGTAGGGATAAAGCCATCTCTCCTTAGGGCTGTGAGACGGACGAAAGAGAAGTGTCAAATAGCAAGTGGACGCTCAGAAACAGAAACCCCTTCCCCAAAGACTGAGCTCAGGGACTAGGACCCTGGGATCCCCGCTCCCAGCCAACTCTGCTCCTGACCCTTCCAGGGACAAGCTCCCCCACCCACGTCCTTTCCAGGCTACCACTAGAAGACATGGGGACGCGTGATCAGCCGCTTCTGTCGCCCTCAGGGAACGGCCTCACGCTGGAGGGGGCAGTGCCCTCGGAACAGGACAGTCAGCCTAAGCCGGCCAAGCGCGCAAGGACGTCATTCACCGCCGAACAGTTGCAGGTACCCGGGCTGGCCGGGCGTGGCCGGGGAGCGGGCGGGGCCTCGGGTGGGCGGGGCCGAGAGGGCCTCCTGGCCCCGCCCCCTCGGTGCGGACGCGCGGGTGGCGGGGAGCGGCTGTAGCTGCCTGGGGCGTGGCGTCCAAGCCGGAGCCTCGGATTGGGCCGGGGTCTCGGAGACCTCCGCGCGTTCGTGCCTCACCGCCCTGCTGCGCCCCGCAGGTTATGCAGGCGCAGTTCGCGCAGGACAACAACCCGGACGCACAGACGCTGCAGAAGCTGGCGGACATGACGGGCCTCAGCCGGAGGGTCATCCAGGTGGGGCCGGGGGGCGGGACCTTCGGACCCGGGGCGGGGCTAGGGGCCTGGGGGCGGGCCCTCGAGCATGTAGCTAGGCTCGCGAGCCCGCGTCGGGGACGCACGTGGCCGCCCTTCTTCAGGAGGCGACGAGGCAGTCCCGCTGGGGTCCCCTGGCGGCGCGTGCGACCCTTTTCCGCGAGGCTGAGGCTGCTGAGGCTGTCGTTCCAGGTGTGGTTTCAAAACTGCCGGGCGCGTCATAAAAAGCACACACCGCAGCACCCAGTGCCGCCCTCGGGGGCGCCCCCGTCCCGCCTCCCCTCCGCCCTGTCCGACGACATCCACTACTCCCCATTCAGCAGCCCCGAGCGGGCGCGCATGGTCACCCTGCACGGCTACATTGAGAGTAAGTGACCGCGATACGGAGGCCGCCGAGGAGCGCGCGTGGGCAGCAGAGGCGTGGGGAGACCTTGCAGAGCCTCGTGGGTGAAGATGTGGGCCCCGCAGTCAGTCGGACTTAAGGTTGGGGGAGGGGGTAAATTCCCCCTCTCTGCCTCAGTGGGATGGGACCTTTAGTAGAGGTAAGCAATTCAGCCATTCAAAAAATACTTTCCAAGCACCCACTCTGTGCCAGAGCCTGGGGACTAGGGAGAGAACAAGATGGGTAAGGTCCCTGCCCTGTGGAGCCTGCGTTCTGGTGGGCACGACAGCATGGAACAATGATCAGACAGATGAGCATGTAATTTTAATTGCGATGATTAGGAATCATCGATAGGAAAGGGGCTGGATGGGAGT